GTGACACGTACGGTACCAGGGGCATTTCTGCAAAGGCCCCGAGGGCAGAACTGAAAAATGCAGTATTTGAAAGTGGCGCCCGAATTGCAGCATGGCGCCAGTTGTCTGAAATCCTACGGTACCAAAGGAGGAGTTTGGAAAAAGGGCGCCAGGCCGAAAACGGGATGCAGCTGAAATAGCAAAACGATAGACCAAGGATCGAGCCCTGGCGAAGTCCGTAACAGGTGGCTTGAAAAGGAGCGTGGGAGGAGCGGAGGAGGAGCAGAGGCGGCGTGCAGGAGGAGCGGAGGAGGCACGGAGGAGGAGGGGGCAGGTGGGGCGAAGGAGTGGAGGAGCCCCTCCTGATCTCCACCTCCGTGTGACCTTCTTCCCCCGATCCCCTTCCCTCTTTTCCTCCCCCCGATCTCCATCTGACCTCCTCCCTCCATTCCGGCCTCCACCCGACTGCGGCTCGTTTTTTTTCATTTCTTTCCGGTGGATGTAAATGCTGTATTTCCTCTCTCTCTCTCTCTCTCTCTCTCTCTCTCTCTCTCTCTCTCTCTCTCTCTCTCTCTCTCTCTCCCCCCCACACCACCTTTTCCCAATCTCTCCTGTTCGTTGGATCCATTGCCCTCACGGCAAAACTTCCGCAAAAGGCATGAAAAAGCAGCTATCCCGTAATGGCAGACACAATGAAACCGGCCGGAGGTGGTGCGGACGAGGCACGGAGGGGAGGCAGAGAAGCACAGAGGAGTGGAGGAGGCACGGGTGGAGCTGCGGAGGAGGTGGGACGGAGGAGCAGAGAAGCTGCAGAGGACGGGGGAAGGAGGAGCGGAGAAGCTGCAGAGGAGGAGGGGTGGAGCCTCGGAGGAGCGGAGAAGCTGCGGAGGAGGGCGGGAGGAGGTGCGGAGGAGCAGAGAAGCGGCAGAGGAAGGGGGGAGGAGGGGTGGAGGAGCGAAGAAGATGTGGTGGAGGGGGGGAGGACAGGAGGAGCAGAGAAGCTGCAGAGGATGAGAGGGGGAGGAGGGGAGGAGAGGACAAGGTCCAGAGGATGAGCGGAGGAGGGGGTGAGGGGAAGCTGCGGAGAAGCGGCAAAGGAGTGAAGGAGGAGTAGAGGAGGAGCAGAGGAGGTGTGGAGGAGGGGCCAAGGAGGTGCCAAGGAGGGGCAGAGGAGGAGCAGACGAGGAGTGGAGGAGGTGGGGCAGAGGAGTGGAGGACGGGTGGAGGAGTGGAGGACGTACTGAGAAGGAGCGGAGGGGTGGAGGAGGAGCGGCAGAGGCACAGCGGAGAAGCTGCGGAGGAGGAGGGGCGGAGGTGCGGAGAATGGCGGAGGAGCGGGGGAGGAGGGGTGGAGGAGCGGAGAAGCTGCGGAGGAGCAGAGGAGGAGCAGCTGTAGAGGTGGGCCTGAGGAGGAGCGGAGGAACAGCGGAGGAGCAGCGGAGGAGCAGCGGAGGAGCAGCGGAGGAGCAGCGGAGAAGGATGGGCAGAGGAGTGGAGGAGGCATGGAGGAGGAGCATGGGAGGAGAGGAGGAGCGGAGGGGGCGCACAGGAGCGGAGGAGCAGTGGGGAAGGTGCAGAGAGGGAGCCCAGGAGGGGAGAATATGCAGAGGACGACGGGCAGAGGGGGTCCAGAGGAGCGGAGAAGCAGTGGAGGAGCAGCGGAAGAAGCGCAGAGGATTAGCGGAGGAGGAGGGGCAGAGGAGCGGAGGGGAGTGGACGTCGAGTGGGGGAGCAGCGGAGGCGGCGTGGAGGATGAGCGGGGCAGGAGGGGCAGAGGGGAGGAGGATGAGCGGAGGAGGAGGAACAGGGGAGGGGAGGCGCAGCGAAGGAGAGGCACAGAGAAGCTGCAGAGGATGAGTGGGGGAGGAGGGGCGGAGGCGCGAAGGATGAGCGAAGGAGATGGGGTGGAGGAGCAAAGAACCTACACGGGAGGCGCGGAGGATGAGCCGGGGAGGGGCAAAGGAGAGTAGAAGCTGTAGAGAAGGAGCGGGGGAGGAGGGGTGGAGCAGTGGAGCGGAGGATGGGCGGAGTGGAGCGGAGAAGTTGTTGAGAAGGAGAGGGGGAGGAGGGGAGCGGAGACTCTGTTGAGAAGGAGAGGGGGAGGAGGGGAGGAGCAGCAGAGGATGAGCAAGGAATGAGCGGGGGATGAGTGGGGGAGGAGGGGTGGAGGCGTCGAGGTTGAGAGGAGGAGTGGCGGAGGAGCGGAGGAGCAGCGGAGGAGAGGTGAGGAGAAGCTGCAGAGGATGAGCGGGGGAGGCGGAATGCAGGAGCGGGTGAGCGGTGTGGGACGCAGCGTGTCTCTCTCTCTCTCTCTCTCTCTCTCTTTCTCATTCTGTGTGTGTGTGTGTGTGTGTGTGTGTGTGTGTGTGTGTGTGTGTGGAATGGGCGGGTTGAGTTGTCGCAGAGGGGGCTGAGGGAGGGGGCGGAGTGGGACAATGGAGTCGGGTGATGGAAGAGGCGCGCAAGGCGAACGGAGGCCAGGGAGGAGGTGGAGGGAGTGGGATACTAACCTGAGAATTCTTTCATGAAGCGTCATTGAGGCGTCCAGAGTCCATCACATGTCAATCACCCATCACACCGACAGCTCACGACTGTCCACCACATGCCACAGGGCCCACCATAGCTCACACTCCAGACACACAGACACACACACACACACACACACACACACACACATAGAGGAGTCGTGTGCACCGTAGGGCGGGACCATATGTGAAGCACCATGTCCGACGAAACCCTACCGCCCATGCCAAGAAATGGACAAAGGCGGTAGGACTGACTTACCGGCCCAACAACCTCATCACCCGACGAGAAACCTGTGATTTGGACCATCATGCCCTACCGGACCGACAACCTGGATTTGGGTGCGGTCTTAAGATCTTACGATATTGTCCATCCAGGCCGTCAATCCGATAGGGCCCAATGGCCTAGATCACAAATCTTTTACGTTCTTTCGCCGATCTAGGCCGTGGACAGATCGGACCAACGACGGTCGAGATTTCATATTTGTGACGCTAGCAATTTTAATAATGTAGGGATGTTTCCGTGTCCCAAACTTCACATGCATGTAGTGAGCATGACCACACACACACACACACACACACACACACACACACACACACACACACACACACACACACACTTGCATGCATGCCATGACAACAGACACAAGCATTTTGGAGAAGGGGAGATGAAGCATTGAATACTATCAAAAAAATCCATCTCTTTTCTTTAACCTGGTTGTCACTAATTGAGCATTGTGAGTATTTTTTATGATGAAATTGATCTAAGCTTCCGGAGGTGGTTTCATTACAAAGAAAGCAAGAGAGGGAAAAGGAAACCATGAGGAGGCTATTGGAGGAGGAAATAATGGAGGGCCTTCTCAGATAACAAACGCTTTGACAAAAGGAATGGGAAGGCTTGACACTCACTCCCTATAGAACTCCACCTCTTACCCCTTCCCTTCCTCCCCCTCCTTGTGTACTACTAATAAATGCATATGAATGAGCAACATTAAGAGAACACACACACACACACACACACACACACACACACACACACACACACACACACACACACACACACACATGCACGCACATATACACATGCATATATAGGCTGTAGGAGAATTTGGGATCCAAAATTTGCCTATGTTTGTATACACACGCACATATACATATGCATATATGTACATATTAATATATACGTATAACTGATCCTGCGAGGCGATTGCCTCTATGAGCCCCATAAGGCCCCATTTTGCAGCCCGTCGGCCGCCCTAAGTGAAGGCAGGCTCGACGAGGCCCTCAGGGCCCTTTTCTGGCCACCACACAACTCAGGGAAATTCAGGCAGTTGCGCAACGCCAGTTCGTTGAGTGAACCCACGCCCTGGGCCGCCTGTGTGAATGTATGTGAAGCAGGCCCTGGGCTGAATACAGGTACCGGGCCGAACACAGGCCAAGGCAGTTGGGCACAGGCAACCACTTCAGGCCCAAGGCCTGCTCTCGTCGTGCTGGGCCTCAGGCTACCGGGGCCTACTGGAAGCTTCCTGGGGCTGGACGCAGGCAGGCCACTTCGATATAGGGAAGGGCCTGCCTCCTCATTCGGGATTCGTGTGCTGGCTGCATGCTGCGCAAGCACTGCTGCTGCGCTATTTGCTGGCTGGCGCCTACGCTCTCACGGGCGAGCAGGGAAGGAGCACGCAGCCATAGCCGGGCTGCGCTGCTGTAATCTGGGTGATTCGCAGGGTGGTCCTTGGGTGCTAGCGGCATCTGTGAGTTGGGGAACGAGGTTGTGAATGTAGCGCGAGACATACTTGGTGCTGGAAGCGTGCGACATTGGTCGCCATATGCTCGTACTTCGGGAATGCTGTTGATGTCATCTTTCGGCTTCGTATTATAGGCTAGATAGGATCTGCCACATGTAGTCTAGGCACCGAGCGCCAGATAGGATATCAACTCTGGTTCTTCGTTGATGATGATGGGACTATTTAAGCATTGTCAATTATGAACTCTTGGTGTGTTCTTATTTGGTGATTCTCATGATGCAATGCTGCTGTTGGTTCGAGGTCAAGACTATCTGGACTCATATGCCTGATGCTGTTTGATTGCTGAAGTTCTTGCTCATCTTCCTTGCAATTTGGTATCAGAGTTGTGGTACGATTGCGCTCATCTGGCGCTTGTCTTCTGCCTTATGTGTTACATACATGCGGTCTGCTGGGTGAGTTTGGTCGTAAGTGGTGTGTAGTGAGGAGGGTGGAGACGACCCAGGAGGTGAGGGGATCGCTAGGAAGGCTACGTGAGGTGAATGTGGTCTGGACAGTGTGATGAGAACTATCTAATGTGCGATTGATGCTGAGGTGGAACGGCGGATAATGCTGGTTGTGCCGATGCAGTGACTGGTCATCGCAATCGCCATCTGGTCATCTGGTGAGATTATCTCTGTGGTTGGGGGCAGCTAATTGAGGTACGTCGCTCTTAACCTTATCTACCCTCTCCGACACTTCTTACCGTGAGGTTGTGTGTTCCTTCTTGAGAGTCCTCTCATTGTGAGGTGTCGAGTGCGCTCAACCTTGAGAGTCGGCAATGTTCACGTGGAGCATCTGGGTGGAGATGGGCGAAGCTTTCTGAAGGGCCCTGGACGAAGCACTGGGTCACGGTCACCATGCCAACCCACAGGGAGTAGAGCACGCATCCCTAGCGGCTTGTCCTTTGTTCAGCTTGCTGCACTATTAGATGGGTACTACTGGGCAGGCCAGCCCTACAGGAAAGACGAGCACCCGCCGTCTATAAATAAACACGGGAAGGGGAACCATTGGCTGTGATCGTCGTCCGGCTGCGACGTAAAATAATTCCTGGAGTCACTTGGGGGCGGACGTTGAATTGCCCTTGGATCAGCCAATGGTTGGAAGGCTCGCGGCACGCCAAGGATAAATATACGTGCAAGGCTGACCAGCTCAGTGGATACTCGGGGCACAGGGGTGGGCCGGACACACACCTTTAGACACGCGACGCTCTCCGGATCGCTCAGGGACGCTGACGTCAAGAGATACTCAGGGGAACTAAGGGAGGGGTTGATTCCAGTTGACAAGTTCGAGAAAATCCCATGCTGTCCTATCCACACAAGTGATTCTATTTTCACGTTTTGATTAGTTAGATGGACTGCCATTGACATCTGACAGACAACATTTGTTAGAACTGGTTATTGTTCCTAGTGCTTCTGTTTGCGGACTAGTCAGACTAAAAATAGTTTCAGTTGTGGGAATCTGACTTACCTATTGACCTCAAGTGATATCTGTTCCGAAATAGCCACCAACTAATTAGTTGGTCTGTGCACTATGTTGTGGTAGGCATCTTGAATGATCTAGTGTAGACAGTGCATAGTGATGTAGCCTATGAGCGACGAGGAGGACACCGGAGAGGACGACCGCAGGATCTTGCGATCAGCTAGAGGCCCGAGAGCTCACGTGTCCCTAGGACCGGAGGGTGATAGGATTTTGTTCCGCCGGCTTAGGGAGAGGCAGCAGCAGCAGAGGAGGGCTAGAGCAGCCGAGGCCAGCAGAACTTTAGTTAGTGAGGCCGAAGGTACACCAGCCATGGCCACTACAACCATGGTCACTTCTGCGCAACAGACTTCCCAAGCCAGTAGTTCAGGTGCCATCGGGTCAACGGTCACGCAAACTGTGAGTCAGTCCACTGGCATTATGGCAAGCCAGGCCGCGGTGTTGACTCCAAAGGATGTCGCCATCCAGCAGGCAGCTCTGCAGGAGGCACAACTACAACGGGCATTAGGAGAGATAAAAGCGGAAAAGGAAAAAATGATCAGAAGAAGAGCCAGGATGCAGCGGAGAGGGGCATATATAGAGGAGTTAGAGACGATGGACCTGACGCATATGGATGATGATGTGAGGGTAGTTAGGAAGGCCCTGCTAGGAGTAATAGAGATGTAGGAGCATCAAACTACCATCCTTCAGGACATTCAACAGAGCCTAGCTGTTTTGGCAGGCCGTGCTTAGGCAGCACCATCACCAGCCGGGCCTGGTGCCTGGCCCGTGCCATATCCTCCTTTTTCTGTCCCACCGGTGACAGGGGTATCCCCATATGTAGCCCCGTCATTGGTTGCTATCGTTTCCCTGGGCATGCCGCTGTCAGGAGGGGTATCAGCAGGGACTACTTTGCATGTTCCTGTACAGACAGTGTTCACTCAAAGTCCGTCGCAGGTTGCAGTCACCACGCAGCCTGCTGTCTCGCAGCCTTTGCAGCCTCAGGGCACGCAGCCCCAGCAGCTAGCACCGCAACCTGTGTCACCGGGTCCACAGCCCGGAGTGATGCAGGGACCGGGACAGACTCGGTGGGTTCCAAAGACGGCCATCGCCGCTCCCAAGCCTTTTACAGGGGACAAGAGAGGCGAAGACCTCGACACATGGTTGAGGGCAGTGCCGGTCTACGTCAGGTGTAAACTGACCTTACCGCACGAAGAAGTGCTTGTGGCTGCTTCCTACCTAGAGGGTAGTGCAGCAAGATGGTTGAGTGGCTTAGTACAACTCCAGGGGTATGGTCATGACTTCCGCGCTTGGGCGGCCTCCCAGAAATTGGAGGACTTCCTGAAGATGGTGGAAGAGACGTGGCATGATCCTCAAGAGGCCCGAAGGGCCACTGATGCGATCCTTACACTGCACACACGGCAGTTTAAGTCAGTAAGGGAAGCCACCGACGCTGTTAAGCGTCTGATCTGTGTCCCAGGTGTGCGCTATGACCCCCAGGTCCTGCTGACTTCGTACTTGAGACGCTTTTCACAGCCTCTCAGGAACCAGTTGGCAAAAGAGGCCAATATCAACATGCACAACTTTCCTTCGTTTAGCAAGGTGGCCCTAGACCTTGAGGCTAACATAGGGCATGGACAGGCACCCACTACGGATGGGAGGAAGAAGACACTGCCTCCTAACTGGAAAGCGAAAGGTCGCTTGATGTTTGTCGACAACGATGGTTCAACCATCGAGTTGGACGGCAACTTCCAGGAAGGAGTAGGTTCAAAGGCAGGCAGCGTAGACGCTTCAGAGGGTGGAGTAGTCGCTGCCGTTTCTCAAAAAGGAAAGGCGACCGGCAGACGCTGCGGAGGCTCCCGGTCTAGGAGTCAAGTTGACCCCAATGCTCCTCCATGGGAGAAAGCGGGTCTTACAAAGGACGTGTGGAGAGACCGTTACTCACGGCAGGCCTCTATTCGTTGTGGTCAATATGGCCACATCCAATTCAAGTGCCACAACAAGAAAGTGACGGAAAAGATCCCGCCTACGATGGGGCAGGTGTTGGGATCCTCTCAACCCGTTGGTAGCAATGTTGCCAACACTTCAGGCAGTGCTCCGGGAAACACGTCGGGCCAGTAGGAATAGTAGTTGTTCCTGCTAGGGTCGAGATGGTGGAGACACCCTCACCATCTCGAGAGATGGCCCAAGCTACTGACTCCAGCGTCGTCCCGCAAGCACATTCAGACACATCGAGCCTCTGTTCGATGAATGTGTTTGAGTCCTTAGAGGAGCTAGAGGCGGAGTGGTCGAGATCAGACCCGCTAGCTTCTTGGACGGCACTAGTCAAAGCCCCGAAGGGTGAGATGTTCGTCAGCGAGGTTGTCATTGACGGCTGCAAGGCCGGGGCCTATTATGACACTTGCTCGACTAGGAACTTTATTAGTCACGCGTGCGTTGAGAGGCTGCGTTTATAGGGGCGAGTGCAACGCCTGAGTCGACCTGTGGAGTCGACCTGTGCCAACAAACAGCGCATGGTAGTTAACGACTACCTCCAGGATGTAGAGTGTTGTTTCCTGTACGCGGGAGGGGACTTGAGACATCGTGTCTCGTTCCTAGTGAGTGACGAGATCCCAATGGACATGTTACTAGGTGTGTACTACCTCTCTGCAGCACAACCCCAATTTGACTGGGACTGAAAAGTGGTCAAACACAACTTGCCAAGTGGAGGGACCACCAAATTACATAAGTTCAAAGCTAGTAGTCTGATTGAGTCCTATGGGTGCATGTGTGTGGCCGCGTTCTACAATTATTATAAGCAAAATCAGGAGGAGGGTATGTATTTAGTCTATGTCTCCGCTGCAGGCGAGCAGGTGAAAATGTCGCCGGAGATAGAGGGAGTAGTTGCTAAGTACCCTGATCTATTTGAAGAGCCAACAGGGGTTGTTGAGAGGGAGGTCGTCCACGCGATATAGATTATCCCAGGGTCTAGTATTCGAAAGGGTAGGATCTATCGGATGTCTCCAGGCGAGCTTGATGAGCTTCGCCGCCAACTCAAGGAACTCGTAAAGAAGGGTTGGATCCGGCCGAGTGTCTCTCCTTATGGGTCTCCAGTTCTATTCGTGCCTAAGAAGAAGGAAGGTACTTTTAGGATGTGCATTGACTATAGGGGCCTCAATGCCATCACTGTAAAGAACAGAGAGCCCCTACCTCGCATCGACAATCTGCTAGATAGAGTGCAAGGGTGTCGGTACTTCAGTAAAATAGATCTGAAGTCCGGGTACCATCAGATTGCAATCGGGCCCGAGGATCAACACAAAACCGCCTTTCAGACCAGGTACGGTCTGTACGAGTTTGTGGTGATGCCTTTCGGCCTTTGCAATGCTCCTGGCACCTTTCAGCACGCTATGAATTGGATATTCCATGACTACTTAGATAAGTTTGTCATCGTGTACCTCGATGACATACTTATTTTTAGTAAGACTTTCGAAGAGCACGTTGCACATTTGGACAAAGTCCTCAGCCTCCTGCGACAGCACAATTTCAAGATCAACTGTGAGAAGTGCGAGTTTGGCCGCACCCGTGTCTTGTACTTGGGTCATGAGATTTCCGCGGAAGGGTTGAAACCCAATGACGCGAAGGTGGTCAGCATTCGTGATTGGCCACGTCCTCAGTCTGTGACTGAGATGAGATCTTTCTTAGGAATGACAGGCTACTATAGGACTTTCGTTAAGAACTATAGCATAGTGGCCACTCCTTTGACTGATCTGACCCGCCTTAACACCCCATGGGAGTGGACAGATGAGTGTGAGGCTGCGTTCAGGCATGTGAAGCATGCGTTGACGCACTACGAGGTCTTGAAACTTCCTGATCCTGACAAGCCGTTCATAGTCACCACGGATGCCAGCCAATATGGCATTGGCGTCGTGCTCGCGCAACAGGAGGGGCCAAAGTTGAGGCCAGTAGAGTACATGTCCAAGAAAATGCCGTCTCAGAAGTTGGCTAAGTCCACCTATGAGAAGGAACTCTATGCGGTGTACAAGGCTCTCACCCATTGGAGACACTATCTCCTTGGGAGGTTCTTCATCCTCAGGACTGATCATCAGACCCTGAGATGGATGAGAACCTAGTCGGTACTCTCTGATGCTCTCAAGCGTTGGATCGAAGTCATTGAGCAATATGACTTTGACCCTCATTATCTCAAAGGGGAGTACAACAAGGTTGTTGATGCCTTGCCGTGCAGACCGGACTTTTCAGGTGCGCTGATTATTGAGTTCGATCTGACGAACAATGTTACTCAGTCTCTGGTGGAAGCCTATCGCGAGGACCAGTTTATGTCTGAGATCGTACGCAGACTTGAGGCGAAGGACAAGAAGACTTCCGCCGAGTTTGAGTTGGTCAATGGCTTGCTGTTCCTGGAGAAGGCAAGGAATAAACGCTTGTGTGTTCCAAATAGCGAGTCTTTGCGTAGTTTGTTTTTAGGAGAGTTTCATGATGCCACCGGTCATTTTGGGTATAAGAAGACCGCAGCCAACTTGGTGCAGCGGTTCTGGTGGCCCACGATGATGCGAGATGCCCAGTTGTATATGGAGACTTGTCAAGTTTGTCAACGGGACAAGCCACGTACTCAGGCTCCTCTTGGGCTTCTGAAGCCCCTTTCGGTTCTGGAACGGCCTGGTGAGAGTCTGTCCATGGATTTCATGGATACTCTGATCACCAGCAAGAGTGGGATGTGTCACATCTTCGTCATCGTGGATAGATTTAGTAAGTATGCTAGGTTAGTAGCCATGCCGGAAACAGCAAAGACGGAGTACGTGATCAGAATGTTCAAAGAAAACTGGGTTAGAGACTTTGGTTTACCAAAGTCTATTGTCAGTGATAGGGATGTCAGGCTCACTAGCGAGTTGTGGAAGGCCGCTGCTGCAGAGCAGGGCACTCAGTTGCAAATGACTTCTGGGAATCACCCTGAGGCCAACGACCAGACCGAGCAACTGAACCGCGCTGTACAACACCTGTTGAGGCATTACATCAAGCCCAACCAGGTGGACTGGGATGAGAAGCTTGCTCTCATCGCCAGTCTGTACAACAATGTGGTACACAGCGCCACCGGGGTGAGCCCGAACAGTTTGCTATTGACTTTCAAGCCTAGACTACCCTTAGATTTTCTCCTTCCTGAGAATCAGTCAACTGCTGCACTAGGTACTTTAGAATTTGCTTACTGTTATGAACAGAAGATGCAGCAGGCTGTAGAACAAATGCAAAAGGCACAGGCAGCAATGATAGAGTCTGAAAACAGACACCGCTGGCCTTCTACATTTCAGGTTGGGGATAGGGTCTGGGTTAAGTCTTCACAACTGGGACAGGAGTACGGGATCTCCCGCAAACTAATGCCCCAGTACTTTGGACCTTGGGAAGTCTTGGACATCGTCGGGACAGATCCAGATGGGCCATCTTACGTTATCCGGATTCCTGGTCATCTCTGTACTTACCTTGTCTTTCACGCCTCCAAGCTGGCACCTTTCAAAGAGACTATTCAGTTTCCATCTCGTCGCTCAATGCTGCCCCCAACCATGGACGAAGAGTGGACATCGATGATATTGTGGATCACAGAGAGCTGCCCGTATCAAGACCCGCAGGTAGGGGACGTCCCCCGAAACCGAAGCTGCAGTACCGCGTTCGGTTCCGACATCACACAAATCCGAAGGAGGACCGCCGGTTCACCAGGGAAGAGCTCATGCAGACCGCTCCTCAAGTTGTAACGCAATACGAGAGATCTCTGCAGAAGGGAAAGCGCCCTATGATTGAAGACTGAGCTTCTCAGAGGACTGTTGAAGCTAAGGAGGAGGGAATGCGAGGCCATTGCCTCTATGAGCCCCATAAGGCCCCATTTTGCAGCCCGTCGCCCGCCCTAAGTGAAGGCAGGCTCGACGAGGCCCTCAAGGCCCTTTTCTGGCCACCACGCAACTCAGGGAAATTCAGGCAGTTGCGCAGCACCAGTTGGTTGAGTGAACCCAGGCCCTGAGCCGCCCGTGTGAATGTATGTGAAGCAGGCCCTGGGCTGAATACAGGTACCGGGCCAAACACAGGCCGAAGGCAGTTGGGCACAGGCAACCACTTCTGGCCCAAGGCCTGCTCTCGTCGTGCTGGGCCTCAGGCTACCGAGGCCTACTGGAAGCTTCCTGGGACTGGACGCAGGCAGGCCACTTCGATATAGGGAAGGGCCTGCCTCCTCATTCGGGATTCGGGGGCTGGCTGCATGCTGCGCAAGCACTGCTGCTGCGCTATTTGCTGGTTGGGCCTACACTCTCACGGGCGAGCAGGGAAGGAGCACACAGTCATAGCCGAGCTGCGCTGCTGTAAGCTGGGTGATGAGCAGGGTGGTCCTTGGGTGCTAGCGGCATCTGTGAGTTGAGGAACGAGGTTGTGAGTGTAGCGTGAGACATACCTGGTGTTGGAAGCGTGCGACATTGGTCGCCATATGCTCGTACTTTGGGAATGCTGTTGATGTCATCTTTCGGCTTCGTAGTATAGGCTAGATAGGATCTGCCACATGTAGTCTGGGCGCCGAGTGCCAGATAGGATATCAACTCTGGTTCTTCGTTGATGATGATGGGACTATTTAAGCATTGTCAATTATGAACTCTTGGTGTGTTCTTATTTGGTGANATAGGATATCAACTCTGGTTCTTCGTTGATGATGATGGGACTATTTAAGCATTGTCAATTATGAACTCTTGGTGTGTTCTTATTTGGTGATTCTCGTGATGCAATGCTGCTGTTGGTTCGAGGTCAAGACTATCTGGACTCATATGCATGATGCTGTTTGATTGCTGAAGTTCGCTATTGCTCATCTTCCTTGCAATCCTATCCCTTAAGGAGCATTGGCCGCGGGGGGAGGTCGGTGGTCCGCTGCGCGCCAAATTCGGGGCTGAAGTTTTGACGAGGGCCGGCTGATGAACACAATCGAGGGTGGGGGAGTGTGCATAGGCGCGTGCGTACCGAAATGTTCACAACGCGCCATGAAACGAGAGGCCGCACCTACGGGGCCGGGCGGCAGCCGATGTAGATGTGAGGGAATATCTCGAAGCGGCTGCCGTCGGATAAGCGGGTTTGAAATCTTTTTCTTTTTCGTTTTGGGTTTCGCTTTTCAATTTTTTT